CGAAGCGCTGTTCTGGGTGCGTGAAGCGCAGGGAACAAGGGCTGTGCTGGGTGGTGGCGGACGCAAGCGGGCAGTGCCACTGGGACCTTGGGTGGAGCCCCCTATGGGGCCACGAAACGTGCGAGGGGTGTGCCAGAATGGGGTGTGGAACCGCATGCCAGCGCAGCCACTGGGGCCTTCGGTGGAGCTCCCTATGGAGCCACGAAGCGTGTGAGGGGTGTGCCGAAATGGGGGGTGGAACCGCATGCGAGCGCAGCCACTGCGGCGTTCGGTGGAGCTCCCTATGGGGCCACGAGACGTGTGAAGGGCGTGCCGAAAAAGGGGGTGGAACCGCATGCGAGCGCAGCCACTGGGGCCTTCGGTGGAGCTCTTATGGGGCCACGAACCGTGTGAGGGGTGTGCCGACATGGGGGGGGAACCACATGCGAGCGCAGCCACTGGGGCCTTCGGTGGAGCTCCCCATGGAGCCACCCACGAAGCGTGTGAGGGGTGTGCCGGAATGGGGGGTGGAACCGCATGCGGGCGCAGCCACTGGGGCCTTCGGTGGAGCTCCCTATGGGGCCACGAAACGTGTGAGGGGTGTGCCAGAATGGGGGGTGGAACCGCATGCGGGCGCAGCCACTGGGGCCTTCGGTGGAGCTCCCTATGGGGCCACGAAACGTGTGAGGGGTGTGCCAGAATGGGGGTGGAACCGCATGCGGGCGCAGCCACTGGGGCCTTCGGTGGAGCTCCCTATGGGGCCACGAAACGTGTGAGGGGTGTGCCAGAATGGGGGGTGGAACCGCATGCGGGCGCAGCCACTGGGGCCTTCGGTGGAGCTCCCTATGGGGCCACGAAACGTGTGAGGGGTGTGCCAGAATGGGGGGTGGAACCGCATGCGGGCGCAGCCACTGGGGCCTTCGGTGGAGCTCCCTATGGGGCCACGAAACGTGTGAGGGGTGTGCCAGAATGGGGGGTGGAACCGCATGCGGGCGCAGCCACTGGGGCCTTCGGTGGAGCTCCCTATGGGGCCACGAAACGTGTGAGGGGTGTGCCAGAATGGGGGGTGGAACCGCATGCGGGCGCAGCCACTGGGGCCTTCGGTGGAGCTCCCTATGGGGCCACGAAACGTGTGAGGGGTGTGCCAGAATGGGGGGTGGAACCGCATGCGGGCGCAGCCACTGGGGCCTTCGGTGGAGCTCCCTATGGGGCCACGAAACGTGTGAGGGGTGTGCCAGAATGGGGGGTGGAACCGCATGCGGGCGCAGCCACTGGGGCCTTCGGTGGAGCTCCCTATGGGGCCACGAAACGTGTGAGGGGTGTGCCAGAATGGGGGGTGGAACCGCATGCGGGCGCAGCCACTGGGGCCTTCGGTGGAGCTCCCTATGGGGCCACGAAACGTGTGAGGGGTGTGCCAGAATGGGGGGTGGAACCGCATGCGGGCGCAGCCACTGGGGCCTTCGGTGGAGCTCCCTATGGGGCCACGAACCGTGTGAGGGGTGTGCCAGAATGGGGGGTGGAACCGCATGCGGGCGCAGCCACTGGGGCCTTCGGTGGAGCTCCCTATGGGGCCACGAAACGTGTGAGGGGTGTGCCAGAATGGGGGGTGGAACCGCATGCGGGCGCAGCCACTGGGGCCTTCGGTGAAGCTCCCTATGGGGCCACGAAACGTGTGAGGGGTGTGCCAGAATGGGGGGTGGAACCGCATGCGGGCGCGGGCACTGGGGCCTTCGGTGGAGCTCCCTATGGGGCCACGAAACGTGTGAGGGGTGTGCCAGAATGGGTGTGGGAGGGGGAGGAGGGGGGAGGAGGGAGAAGGAGGAAGGAGGAAGGAACGCGTGGCGACGTCTCTTCAAAACGAGGACCCAACACCACAGGATGGTTTGGGAAAAATGCAGATGTCCATAACCACCGCCCGCTGGGGCACGTGGGCGTCGATTCCCAGGCGGTGGATATGAATCAATCCCTGGCTCCCAGCCTTCTTCTCCAGCAACAGAAACTCCGATGGCGCGCAGGCAGGTAGCAACGCGGGCGGCAGGGGGGAGCGCCACTCTCGCGCGGCAGGCGGTGCAGGACGGCGGAGGCCCCGTCTGTTGGTGCCAAGACTTCCGACGTCGTCGCGTGGGCCCTTGCGGTCCTGCCTTGGCCCCATGATTTGTTTAAGAATGTGTTGGATTAGTTTTCTCTGCCCTCAGGCCTTCTTTGGTAGTTCCGGTCCCAATGAGGGCCCTCAGGGTCAATATTTTGCTGTGCTCGCGGACAAAGGGCGAAACGGCGCGGCCGCCGGCGCCAGATCACGGGGCCGACTCAGTCTGGCATTTTTGGTCGTTGCGTGAGTAGTCTCGCAGCTAGGGTAGCGAATTCAACCTCGCTGCCCCCGGCGCAGCGCAGGTCCCGGACGAGGAACAAAGCTTGCCCGCGCGCTGGCAAGCGGTCCTGCCACCCCGGCATGCACCGCCCATCATGGCCGACGCGGTCTCAGCACTGCCGTCGCATCGAAGGCAGCAGCCCCGGCCGGGCCCCTGAGCGAGGGAGTGGGGCCACCACGAGCGCCCTCAGTGGCAGACATTCCGTAAACGAAAACAGCCCCGTCCCAGCGAGAAGGGACGCTTCGTAGCGTGGACCCCTCCGAGGGAAGATCTTCGCATCGCTCGCACGTGCGCATTTTTTCTTTGGCGAGTGTCGTTGAGTAACACCTTGGATCATATTCGAAAAAATGTGCGCACGAGACCTGGAAAAACGTGTGGGATGGACATCCGAGCGATGGCCAGGGACGCAGGAACTTGAGTCGAGGTCGGCGCTGTCAGGCCGACGAGGAGGGGAGGCGGGGCGTAGTCCGGCTTCAGGCGAGTGCATCCGGGGTGCTGCCGCCTGCCCCCTCCCCTCCGACGCGCGCCTCCCTCGCAGGACGCAGGTAGGAGAGCTGTCGCTCACTTCCCGTCGTGTTATCCCCCCCACCTCTCCTCGCTGTCCTCCTTCGCCTCCTCCTCGTCTTTTCCTCTCTCCTCCCCCTCTCCATCTTCGGCCTCGTCGTCCTCCTGCTCATCCTCCCTTTCTTCCCCCCTCTCTTCGTCCTTCTCCCCTTCTCCCTCGCTCTCTCTTTCTCTCTCTCTCTTTCGCTTCGCCCTCTCCGACCTCCTTTCGTTCTCTGTTGTCTGCCTCGCCCCATTGTGGACTCCCCCCGCTGCCGGGTTTTCCTTATCCATGATGCATGCTGTGTCTCCTTACCCCTGCTATTGTCTCCCTTGTCCCCTGCTGTTGTCTCCCCCACACCTTCAACTAGCCATGTTATTGGCATACCGCCCGGAAGGTCCCCAGCTGATTCCAATCGACGTAATTATTGCAATGATCACGCCGTTGTTGGCTGGCTGGGCGGGACCCAGTCTACTTTAACCGCTGTCCTACATCATATGTCGACGGATTTCGTCTGATTGACTGGTAAGGGTTGTGTAGTGGATCTTTTGTTTGAAGCGCAAACGATCCACAGTCCACGTGTTGGGCGCTACGCCATGCTGCACTGCATACACCAAGGACATCAATCGATCTCAGTAGAGGGAAATTGCAACTGCAAGCTACCAGCTGAGTGGTTGCATTCCGAGGATAAGGGGCCACCACGCTAAACACTATCGAAGTATCAGCCCTTTCTTTTGGTCAGCAGCGAAGGCGAGCGCCAACGCGGTCGAAAGCCGCATCGATTTGCAACAGGCACGGCGTCTAGATCACACACCAATACTCATGCAAGGGCAACATATTACCACAGCAACAAAACGATACCAACCACGTTTCAAGTTACGATAATGCGTCTGCATGTCGTCTGTGCGTTCTGCACCAGACTGCCAGCATGCGGCTACAATCCGATAACACAGCTCTATCGATACCCAGCTGTCTGCTGCATGTTCTGCCACCGTGCCAGCGCGGCAGCGTTCGTGGCGACGCTTCGAGCACCGCCGAACAGACCGTAACCCGTGACACATCTCGTTCCCATGTTTTTGACGAGCGGTCATGTTATTTGCATTGGCTGTGTTCGGTCTCTCTTGTGCTTGGGCTCCTGGGGCGCAGTCTCCGAGGCCTCGCGTGATGTTCCTGGGCCTCTTGTTGGGCCTCCTGGCGCTTGGGGCCCCTCGTAGGACCTTGAGGCCGTCTTGGGGTTATTTCGGGCTGCCTGGGGGCACTCGCAGGCTTCCTTGGGACCCTATTCGGGCTGTTCTCTCGGTTTTGGGGGGGCCCTCGCGGGACCAGTATGCACCCTTTCGAGCTCTGCGTCGCTCTTCTTATGTCCGCTGTTGAAGCCATGCGGAGCCGCCCGGCCCGGGACGCCACACAAATGAAAACATTCGAGGGGTTCGTGCGGTTTTTGAACAATGCGGGTTGTCTTTGAGGGGGTATTGGGTATTGGGCTTGCTGTGCTGCCTTGGAAGCTTGTTGGTGCCACGTTGGCACGTTTGCGATATGTTGCCAACGACCATGTGATTTTTGAGGCAATGTTCGGCCGTCTTGTTGGTTTTCGTGGGCCATCTTCGATGCATCGGAGTCTTGAAGACGCCCAGGGAGGCGTCTGGGCGGCCAGCGGGCCTCGGGAGAGGGCCCGGTGCACAGCACAGGAAGGCCTTCGGCGATTTGCTGGCCCTTGCGAACGCATGCCGGTCTGCCATGCCTTAACGTGACAGGTGGCATGCAGACCAGCAAGACGCATGCGTCATGCAGTTCTGCGAAACGATTAACGCAGTATGCACAGCAAGCGAACGGCACGCTTGATGTTCATGGAAGGACGTATAATGGCAAGTTGTAGATTGATTGCGCCGCTCTCTTGGGAGGGGGGGGATGAATGATCAGTCATTCGGTTGAGGTCCGAACCATAACGACCGTAGGACTTGCAATGCGTTTTACAACCAGATGTGTTATCGCAGCCGTTGTGCAGGAGAGGAGAGCCCACGGGAGGGAGGCTGCAGGATGCAGTAAGGGGGGTGGCCTGCAGTCATGGTGTTCGGACAGAGCAGGCCATTGCCTAGTCAAACACCAAGGCGTGGAGTATCAGCCTGGAGAGTTCGCTGCCGAGTCTGAAGCTCTTCGGGATGAGGAGCGCGCTTTTCTTAGCAACTGCAGGTCGTGTGCGCTCCTGCATAAGTTGTTGTGCGTTTGTATTGTTGGGAGGGCTTCGCCGTCTGCTGCCGCCCCCTCTTTTCTGGCTGCTTGCGTTGCCACGCTTGCTCGGCTGGTTGGCCTGTTGGCGTGAAGGCTGGCTGGCCGGCAACTTGGCTGATTGTCTTGCTGCCTACAGTGGGCCCAGATTAGTAGGTCGACCCTGCCAAATCAAGGGTACCCTTGTGTCCTGTGTCTCGCGACCCATGCTTCCTACATTCCTGCGGCAATGTGGCCCTCGGAAAGGTCTTGTGTCCTCTCGCGTGTCCTGTCCAATCGAGTCCGCCTGTACGTAGATAGCTGGCAGTTGGTTTTTGGTTGCTTGTTGGTTGGCTGGTATTTTTAGTGCATTCCAGAGGACTGTCGCCTTGGGAGCACGAGTGCGTTGTACTCCGCACTGGCCTGTCATTACCGTCGGGTGCGCGGCTTCGTCGTACGCTGCAGCGGGTTGTGGCCTCGGGGACGCAACGTTGCTGCAACACGTGCGAGATGGTGGCTTCGGGGGCGCGAGGCTGTCGCAGTGTGCAAAGGACTGCGGCGTGGGGGCCGCGACTGCGTTGTACTCCACAGTGGGCTGCCGCCTCGGCAGCGCGAGCGCGCCGTGATCTGCAAGGGCCTGCTGTGGCCTCGGGGTCTAGGAACCGTCTTCTCCGTACGTGCCCCCAGCGCCCCAAGACACTCTGGCACGCGGTGCTGTGTTTCGGGCCGGGGTCCTCGCGGGTCCTTGCGCGCTCTTCGACCACAGCAGCAACATCAGCAGCAGCGCTCCAGTGTCCACGCGCGCTCATTGGACGAGCCAGATGCCAGACCATGCAACACCGCGAACTGGCACTGCTGTAGGGAACACGGGGCGCCGACGCCTCGCAGCCTGGGGGCCCCGCAAGGGGCCAGCGGATTCGTCGTCACATTCTCTTCTGCGGGGGTGGGATTAGACCGTTGCCTAAACGTGTGTATTCCATGCCAAACGGGGGCGATTTGGATTGCACGTGGTCGTGGTGCAGTCGCTTTTTTGTCGCGGCACGTTGTGTTGGAACAAGCACTCGTCTTCTGATAGTTCTGCTCAGCCACGACCCGAGCACAGTTCGTGGTCACTCTTGGCTTTGTCCCCTCTCGATCGCAGCCAGTTGGGTCCGTTCACGGCACAGGCGCCTCCGAACATTGACGGGCTCGCACGGAAAAAGGGTCCCCCAGTGGATCGCGCAGTTCAAGAAGTTCCAGAGCAGCTGATCTAGCTCCACGTCACGCCCAGCGTTACCTTCAGAGGCGATATGTGGCGCCGCGGCAGCGGCCCCACTGCCCCCAGCCAATGATGCTGCGGCCGGCAGAAGCAAAGGACGGCATTGCTGCGTTTGTAGTGACCCAGGCACGTTCGCCACCCCCCCCCCATCTTTTAATTTTGTTGGGTATGGTGGGACAGGTGCCGCTTGTGCGGGTGATCTCCGCTGATGGGCACCACAAAGTGTGGCCCATGGGCGCGGCGTTGCCACTTCTGCTCGGGGTGGACAGCCCTTCGTTTACTTTATGTTGGGAGGTGCACGGGGCGGGGGGGAGGTTGGCAAGAAAGTGCAGGTTGAAGGGAGGTTGTCGAGGACGTCTGCAAGTGCTGGCAGGATCCGAACACATGACATAATAATTATTCACAGACCCCGTTCGGCATGCATGCGCCATTGTCTTTATACGATGCGCACGGGTACCTACCATGTGTGCACATCTTCTTAAGGCCGCTGACTGCACCCCGTTCGAATCCTCAAGGATTAGCGTGCTGCTCAGTAGTAGCGGCTGGAATTTACGGATGTGCGCCTCTGACTGCCACGCAGGTATGGGGGGGATCGCGCGCGTCCTTTCCCCTCGGTCTGACCCCTGCGGCTCCACCCAGGGCGCTGAGGTTTAGTCGCTAGAGCAGACGTAGATGTGGACTCGAGGATTCTCAGAACACGTGCTAGTCCAGTGTGTGTGGTCTCGGCCCTGATTATATTGGCCGGGTCGTGCCGACGGCGCCTGTGCTTTCGGGGAAGGCTCAGGAAACTTCTCAGAAGGCCTGCGGACTTCCGAGCCTTCTGAGAAGGCCCGCCCCTTCTCACTTTCCCCCACGGGCTCGCTGCAGAGCGGATCATCGATTGATGTCTCCAGGAGCTGTTCCGTGGCCATGCTTTCGCCCGCCTTCGCCTTGCGCCTGCCCGTCTCGATGCCCGAGGGCGCGGGCGCTGGTGCGGACTCAATGGACTTGGCATCGCTCGGACGTGTGCATCTCGGCGGGGGCCATCGAGGAGCATCTTGGATCATCTGTTGGCAAGAGATGCACGCACGGAACCGAAAAATGCACGAGGAGTGGACGCCCGAGCGATGGGAAGTGGATCGGTGCTGGACAACCCCTGGACGAACCTTCGGCACCGCCCTTTCCGCGCTCCGCGCCTCAGGGAGGGGGGTGCAGCGCCGACTTACAGTCAAATTTGCTGATCGACCTACGCTGCCAGAGCAAGGGTACCCCTGTGTCCTGTGTTTCGCGACCCACTCCTGCGACATTATTGTGGCGATGTGGTCTTCAAAAGGATATTGTGTCCTCTCGCGTGTCCTCCTGTGTGTTCACTCAGCGGTCCTGGGGGGTTACTCATAAAACAGCTCTGCCCTGCTCGACTACTGCTTTGGGTGCGTTTGCTAAACGGCTCCGCTGGTCGGTGTCCCTTGTTATGAGGGCGGTATTTCTGCTCTGGATCGGTGCTGCACACCCCCTGGCTCCGCGTGCCAGGGATGGGGGCGCAGCGCCGATCCAAGAATTCCGCGCCGACCTCCGCAAGTGCATAGGTATGTGTGTATGTAACTATAAATATACAAGACTGCATCGGCGCTGCGCGCCATGCGACTTGGTCCTTTGAGACCTGCACGGAAGCGGAATGCGTGCTTGTGTACATGCGCGAATGCATGTATACACGCGCACGTGCATGCACGTTCCGTATACATGTCTAGGTTTATACAATATACTTACATGGTTGTATGTGTGCATACAGCGTACATATGCACATATTAATTTATGTGTGTAAGGATATGAACATGCATATGCAACTCGTACGGGGCATTCTCGGGCATCTTCGCTGCATGCCACGAGACCCTCAACGACTGGGTCACAATGTGAAATGTGATGGGAGCAACATCAATGAATGCTGGCATTCGGAAACATCGTGGGGGTGTTTTCGGGGCCCTCGTGGGCCGTTTTGGCGCCTTCATGGGCCGTCCTGGGGCTTTCTTGGGCCGTCTTGGGGAGCTTGGGCCCGCTGGAGCCCCCTTTGGACCCATCTTGGGCACTTCCGGGGACCTCCCATGGCCCTTTTGGGTCTGTGCTGGGAGCCCTTGGGGGGCCTCTTGGTTCCATTATGGGCTGTCTTGGGGCTCTCGTGGGCGATCGTGGGGCCCAGTTCGGCCGTCTTGAAGCTTTCTTGGGGGCCTTTCGGAGCGTCTTGAGGCGATCTCGGGGGCTTTGAAATTGTCTTGAAAGCTGATGGAATCCGAAAGGCGACTATGCTAAAATTGTAGGTTTTACGAAGGGATTGGGACGATTTTGTGTTTTGAAGGCCCCTTGGACAGCTTTTTGGGGTGCCTTGAGGGTCTTTATGTTGGCATTCGGAAACATCGTGGGGGTGTTTTCGGGGCTCTCGTGGGCCGTTTTGGCGCCTTCATGAGCCGTCCTGGGGCCTTCTTGGGCCGTCTTGGGAACTTGGGCCCGCTTGAGCCCCCTTTTGACCCATCTTGGGCACTTCCGGGGACCTCCGATGGCCCTTTTGGGTCTGTGCTGGGTGCCCTTGGGGGGCCTCTCGGTTCCATTATGGGCTGTCTTGGGGCTCTCGTGGGCGATCGTGGGGCCCGGCTCGGCCGTCTTGAAGCTTTCTTGGAGGCCTTTTGGGACGTCTTGAGGCGATCTCGGGGGCTTTGAAATTGTCTTGAAAGCTGATGGAATCCGAAAGGCGACTATGCTAAACTTGTAAGTTTTACGAAGGGATTGGGACGATTTTTGTGTTTTGAAGGCCCCTTGGACAGCTTTTTGGGGTGCCTTGGGGGTCTTTATGTTGGCATGCGGAAGCATCGTGGGGGTGTTTTCGGGGCCCTCGTGGGCCGTTTTGGCGCCTTCATGGGCCGTCCTGGGGCCTTCTTGGGCCGTCTTGGGGAGCTTGGGCCCGCTGGAGCCCCCTTTGGACCCATCTTGGGCACTTCCGGGGACCTTCCCATGGCCCTTTTGGGTCTGTGCTGGGAGCCCTTGGCCTCTTGGTTCCATTATGGGCTGTCTTGGGGCTCTCGTGGGCGATCGTGGGGCCCGGCTCGGCCGTCTTGAAGCTCTCTTGGAGGCCTTTTGGGGCGTCTTGAGGCGATCTCGGGGGCTTTGAAACCGTCTTGAAAGCTGATGAGATCCGAAAGGCGAATATGCTAAAGTTGTAAGTTTTACGAAGGGATTGGGACGATGTTTGTGCTTTAAAGGCCCCTTGGGAAGCTTTTTGGGGTGCCTTGGGGGTCTTTTGTGCCGTCCTGACGCAATTGGAGTCCCTCTTGGAGCGCTCTTGTGCTGTGTGGGGCCTCCCTTGAGCCTTTTTGATGACCCCTCGGATCGCTCTGGGTCTGCTGGCAAGGCGTTTGTGGAGACCCGGAAAGCCGGGTGACCTTTTCCAAGGACGTCCAAGGGAGCCCGAGAACCCCATATCCCGGGGGTCCAGTTTTTTTGGGGGGGGTAATGGTTTTCCCCCCCCCCCCCCGGGCTTGTAAAAATATAGGAAGAGGAATAGATGGTGTATGCAGGTTCTTCTTCATAATGGGAGGGGGAGGGAGGAGGAGCGAGGATGGAACAGGAGTGAGGAGCAGGAGAAGGAGGAGGAGGGGATTGAGGAGAAGGATGAGGAGGGTGAGGGGAAAGAAAAGGAGGATGAAGTCGAGCGGAGGAGAAAGGCGAGGTGTGGCGGGGGCTGAAGAGAAGGGGCGGGGTTAGGACGATGAAGAAGGGCGCGGTGTAGAAGGAGGGGGAAGAGGAGGGAGGTGTGCGTCGGTTGGGCGGGGTAGGGGGGGTCAAGTACTACGTTGGCGCCAGCACGTGCTATTGTTTGTTGTTCGCCCCCTGTCCCACAGAATCCAGTGCATTCGGGACAGCGGAGGCGAACACGGCGTTCATGTGTTGTTTGGCGAGCTAATGTGCCGCTGCCGAGTTTATCTGTCTGTTGTGTGAATTAGGATACAACTCCTGCGAGGTCTACGTCAGCATCGGCGATGGTATACCCGTGGTCGAAAACCGGCCTGAGCTGCCATAGTCTTGTTTACTTGCGTTTAGTCCCGTTTAATCCAGCTTAGCACTGAGCTCACGCCAGGCTTTTCCGATTCAGTGGCCCTTTCAACGGGCGTCAGAGATTTCGCAGCCGTTCTTACAAAGATCTTCCATGAGTTGTTTCCTGAAATGAAGGCGTGCCGCGACGGTGTTTCTGATCCGCGCGCTTCGCTTCCTCTTCCATTTCCCCCTTCGGGCGTTTTGAGACATGCTGGCCTCCCAGGTGGGGTCCGAGGAGCTGGGCTCGGTGGACCGCGCCGAATCGCCGATGCATCGGCGATGCGGCTCGATGTGGAGCCCGATTTGCTCCACGCCAAAGGCGCCGATGCATCGCCGACGGCGCCCGCGCATCTCCGATGCATTGGCGATGCATTGGCGATGCGGTGCGATCTTCCGACCCATCTGCTCGGACAACATGTGGGAGGCTTTTATCACAGGACAGCCTTCGCGCATCCAGGAGGATGCCGCAGCCTGGTGCTCCGGGCGGCTCTCCGGCAGCAGCGGCGGCAGCACCACCGGTAATTACCACAGCAGCACGGGCAGCGCCCGCAGGGGCCAGAGCAGCATGGGTCAAAATGAAACCAGGGATGCCTGAGGAGCAGGAGCAGGGAAGGAGGAGGAGCAGCAGGAGGAGGAGGAGGAAGAGAAATCAGGAGAAGGAGAAACAAAAAGAGGAGGAAAGAAAGGACAAGAGTAAACCCAAGCAAGATGCACCAGCCCGTCATATATCCCTTCCTCACACAGCCTTCCCAGTTTTGGAGGACGCTGGCGATTGGGAGGAGGAGATGCTGGTGGAGGAGGGAGCAAGAGGATGATAATGAGAGGGACGAGAAGGAGGAGGACCACAGTAAACCAAAGATGCAGAAGCGATGCTGCAAGATACCCTTCCGTCCCAAGTCCCCCCCTCGAGAAGCCATATGAATTTCTTTTTCAGTACAAGAAGCGCTCCCCTTGAATCGCCAGCAGAGTTGGGCCTGCCATTTTGGCGAGGGCCCCGCTTTGAACAGGAACCTCTCGCATGTTTCCTGCGCGTTTTCTGGAATGCGAAAGACGGTGACCATACATGGTGACGAGGCGCCTAGCGAGATCACCCGTTCGAAGAAGGACCACCCACTGTTTGTGTAACGTTTGCCCAAGTTTACTCTGATGGCCATTTGCGTCCAGAACGCTTCGAGCGAGAGCCACATTTTGACATTTTTCCATGCGTCAACTTGTTGCAATACAAATGAACGTGAACAGAACAGTT